GCTCACAAATAGTAGTAAATACTTTTAAACTAAATAAATAACTGCTGTCAAATTCACTTACAGAGGCAGTATGCCATCTTTTCTAGCACTATGTTAACTAGGATATGCATTTCCATACGCCATTATGCTGGTGCGCCACTCTCCCAACCCCTTTTTAAATCCAGGTACAACAATTCATAATATAGTTTTTATATCTGAATTCAAATGAGGTAATATCATTCTGCTCTTTCTGGCTGACCATCTGACAATCAAAATTAAATGCACTGAGATGGACTTTGCACTTCCTGATCCCTACCCCATCCCCAGACTTCTAAATCCCAGGATTTTCCTTTAAAATGTTCCCTCATGTCTAGTCAGTGGATTTGCCTAGTACAAGTACTGTAGAAATTTTCGCCATAAAATATTCTTACTCTAGAATGGCCAATACTTGACGGGTTTAGCCCCACTTACATTATGAAATAAAAATAGGCTCATTTTCCCATTTGGACTCGTTTTGATGTTTTGCCCACCACCATCACCACTGGCAGAAGAGATCTTAATAATGTAGCTTTGTCTCTGCAAAGAAGAGATTCAATTTTATATAATAACCAATGTATACTGGTTTTAAATGAGGTTCATTGGGCAGAATATATTAGACAAGTGTCTGTTTTTGAACTTATGATAGATATATTTTTATTCAGCATTTGAAAGCCTGAAAGTTCCCATATAATGTAGCAAAGTTCTATTCAGTCCTTACAGGTCAAATAAGCCACCCTTTGCATGAGTCTCAGCAAAATTTTAGACATGTATTGGAGCTACATGGCTGGCACAAAAACAGACGGTTACTTCAAAACCACAAAGAAGTGGGAGCCCAAAGAATTCCTTTCTGCAATTCAATAAACAAGAGGAAAGATGTACTGTTTGCTGGCTCAAAATAGACACTAATTTTACATCTGTCTCTGAGGCATAGCAAAAAGCCAACTAAAGAGCAGTAATAAATGTCCAAAAACAGCATCAGTATCCAAAACTCTCACAGTAGTCTTCAGAGGAATTAATTACAATTCTGTGTAACAGTTGCATTGGCAAAATGCACCCATAATTATATACAGGTACTGTACTGTATTACAGGGAAATTTGCCATGTGATACTATGTTTACATGATAATTGATGGATAAGATAAAACTATTTGCATATGAAGGGCATAAGAATTATTGGCATGGCTCACCATTTTATGTGGAATCATATTAAAGTTTCATTTTCTCTAAAACTGTATGTATAATATGGGGTTACCAAAGGGCATAAAGCTGATACTTAAATTTGCTTTATAGCAAATGGGTCTGGAAAGATATATCTCCACATGCATTACTAAAAACCTATATTTAAAAAGGCTTTATAGTTTATCTATAATAAGCATTGTTTTCACTTCACCAGATTACATTATATTAAATCCTCTGTATTCTTCCTTCCAAGCAAACAATACTCTAAATTATATCACTATGCCAATTAATTTTACAGCCATATGTAAAACAAATAATGGTTTTTCTTCCTTGCCTATACATATAACTCTTATTTTCAGATTTTTGTGTTCTGGTGACATGTAATAGAATAGTAGCAAAATTTGACATTTTTATAATGTCCATACCTGCTGGAAAATTTCAGCATTTGCAAAAATGGCCTATCATAGCATTTAAACATTGCTGATAATTAGCTTGACATTTGAAATAGCAGAACTGTTGTTTTGAAGATGCCCTACACAATGTTACCTTACTAACCCCTTTTCCTACTTATATGCTTTCTCTACATTATTCTGTCAGTTACAGTACAAATATCAGTTGCTAATATATTAACATACAAAAGAACTGATGTGAAGGGGCAATACTTCATCTTCAACAGAAGCAGAAACTCTATTGACGTAAAGGAAAATTACATATGCAGCTTATAGACAGTTAATTGTTAATAAGGCAGTCAATAATGATTTCCTATAACTCTACTCAAGTGGGCCAATAAATCGTTCAATGCCATCATCAAACATATATTAAATATCCACAATGTGGCAAATCCAGAAGATAGCAGGAGGTGCCATTCTCACCTCAGGAAGCTTACAATTTATTTGGAGAAATAGATTCATAAAATTGTAGTTCCAGAAGGACACTTGAAGTCAACTCTTGACAAAGAAGGTAATACAGCACAGTGAGGTGAAATGACTTGTCAAAGGCCGTACAGCCAGTTGGTGGCAAAGCCGGTACTAGAAAGCATGTCTTTAGGTGTACAACAGCTGAACAAAAACATACATATTAATACAAATTCCCAGTGCAGAATGCAATCTAAGTTTAAACCCCACATGACCAGAGAAAGGGATGGAAATCCCTGGGACTTTTTGGGATTTTCATGCCACAAAAATGGAGATTGTTGCTTAATTTTAAATTGTTTTGATGATTGTTACTTTCATGGATCCCCTTAATTTGAGTTATAGAAGCCTACCAATTTGATCAATTACCAGAATCTAACAATACACCCATGTTTCCTGCAATAGTTTGGAAACAATAGAGATAAAGAGGCAGTTCACAGAATTACGAGTTTGAAGATTTGCCTTGTCCCAGAACCAACGTGTAACCAGCTGTGTGGCCTTGGCCTATCATCCAAGGAAACTTGGTAGAAATGAGTAAAAATCACGATAATGGTTCCCTGTTTATGAGGTTGTCATAGGAGCCTACAAAGTTGTACGTGCAATGGCACTGTGTGATGTATAAAACAGTAAC